GCTAACGTCTTGGAAGAAGTTCTTTTGACATGCTGCCAATCCCTGCATTTTTATGCCTTTTTCTGCATTGTTTGATAAGGGCGAAGCAGAGGAGTCCCACATAGACTCTTCACTGTCTGCATGCTGAACCGTAAAATGGGTAGGCTGCACAAAAGAAGTTAGAAGTTAGAATATCCTCCTTTCCCTGCACAGTAGTCTTAATGTCTTGGAATTCAACAAATAATCACACAAAGAGTAATGACTAACATATATCTAAGTTTATTTAGAAAGATGCATATGCTAATGTATAGAAGAAGCACAGTGTGCATCTGTGTAAGCAGCATATGCATGTGCAAACACGCGGCTACCTGATACTCTGTACCTGATACTCTGCAGCTGAAGTAAGCCTGGCGAGAGAAGAAGGAAATGTTCTAGCATGACATTGTGGGAGGCATTGCTCACAGTTCAGCAAAATCCCTGTTTGATGGCATAATACTCATTGACTCATCTTTTATCTACTGCTAGGAGATATACTGTAAGATCGTATCACTGCAGGCAAAGGAATGAAGGTCGGGAATTTTGTGCAACCATCAACCCACTCGTTGATTCATGAGCATGTTTTGACGAGCAGAACTGAATGTATAATCCAGTCACCCTGCGGAGTCACTAGGACTGGGCCAGACTTAAATCCTGATGAAGAAACCAGAGGTCTTTCCCTCTAATTTCTGTGGAAATTTCTGTGGAAATTGTTATGGGTCTTTGATCCTTATCAACACAAATATCTTGACTGACATGTTATTGTGAAAACTGATGGGAACAGAGGCCAAAACTCACAAATTTGCTCACTTGTAACACAAATGAAGTCCTGCTCACTTAAAAGATGATTTGCTCAGTATTGCAGTAGGTACAAAATAAGATGATTTTCTTTTGTTATGTTCCCCTTTTGACAAAACTACTGAAAGAACAGCGACATAATGCAAATATTACAGTGGAATACTGGCCATGGATAGCAAATTCAAGATTTATCTGACTGCATTCATCTTAGCTGTGATTTTCTGGCTTATTCTTTAATGAAAAACGTGTCATAAAAATAAACCAAACTTACATTCCTTATGCATGCATATTTCTATTGACTTCACTGTGGGAATTTGACCCTAAGTGTGTATACATATTATTAAACTGAAATTCCATTAGCAAATTAAATAATCATGCATTAGAAGGGGGACAAGAGTTAGGGGCTGGTTTTCTTCTGTAAATTTGCCAGCTCGCTCTGAAGCAAGTGAATATTYGGACTCGGGTCTGGATCAACAAAACCCTGGAATTAATAGAAGAAAGGTTATGCAGAATRCAGGGGAAGGCATACTCAAAGAAGTGCAAATACCAGAAATCTTGAAAACTGGCAGAAGAGTAAAATGGAGTAAACAAGTCAGAAGGACTACAGGTTATTTTCCTAAATGCATTTGAGGTAAAGCAGTTAGTGAGGAGAATTTGTCCCTCAGATCTTGAGAAACTGAAACTCTAGATGGCTTCAATGACTATTAAAGTGAAAATTCAGAATAACATAGCGTTTTTGAACATGTAGTGCATTTCAGACTGTTGCTTTTGGTCACCTGCAACACTCTCAATAAATGTGGGAAGCAAGCACCAATAACAAAAGCAATGAAGTCTTTATTACTTTCAGAGTATCACCACCCACTCTAAGCTTACCTCTTACAGCATTTTATAGACAATATTACAGTCGTAATGTGGAATGGTTAGCTTTACAGGGAAATGTTCGAAACAACAGGAATGCATGTGGCTGAAGGTACGTCAAAAGGAAGTAAGAAAACACCCTGGAGGAGCAAAGTTTCTGACTTTGCAATAGAAATATCTGGATGAAGCATAGAGGAAGCGAACGAGTGGTTTATTTTAGCACTGATCTGCCATGTACCTCAGCAGCATAACTGATCAACTCATCATGGAGCTGATAGATGCTGATGCTCTTCAGGGAATGAGCCCTGTCACTGCTGCTGCTGTCATCTTCTCAGCAGTAGCCTCTGGCTGGGTACCGAAAGAGTGCTGCATGGTAAACACATGGAAACTAATTAATTTGAGGAAGTAGAATACGTAATTTGTATTGATTGTGCAAATGCCATTGCTGTGCTCTTTAGCAGCCCTATGCAGAATGTCATAGAAAGAGCTATTCATTACCGGAGAAACAAATGAAAGTCAGAATGAAAAGCAGTGGAACTGCAGAGATTATTTAGGTTTTCACCTCTTAGTTGCAGTGAAACTCAATCCTAATTAAATCAGCAGCAAAAGAGAATCATCAGCACTTAAATGTCATTTCTGCCCGCCTGCCCTAAACCTATATTCTCAGACTGCGTCCTCGTTAGTAGAAAACTGATTTCACAAGAGAATTTAAAGTATAATGACAACAATATTCTGAAACTTTTTTTTTTTTTTTTTTTTTTGAAATGGACCTGAAAACCTGTACATCTCCTGCAGAAGTGAGTTGGGTAGCACAACAGGTAGTCAATTAAAACCCAGGAGTAATGTTCTAACCTTACAGAAGGCATCTGGGAGCTAACTCAAATGGTTTTCAATTTCAACTTCACAAAAAAGAAAAAGAGGATAAGAAAAAGAGGAAAAGAAGGAAAAGAAGGAAAAAGGRAAAAAAGTTACCTTTAACATCATTGCATATTCTAAAAAGTCACACACAAACAAAAACCCTACTATCCTGCACAACTACACCTGGTCCTTTTAAGTTACACTGTGAAGATATGTGAGTAGTGAAGATGATGATGTAATTTACTCTTGGCCATAATAAACGCTAGACTCCAATGTTATTATCTGTTTTTTTTCATGAATGTTAGAAAACAAAGGAAAACATCAAACACCATCTGTAGATGTGAATACTTAGAACTGTACAACAGAAAAAGCRTTCAATCTTATTTGAAGTCAGACAGCTCTGTGTCTGGTTGTCTTTCCATTTACACCAGTTCCACATTTTTGTAGCTCGCTGATTTCAGCAGCTTATTCTCTTTATTCCAGTCACAAAGGACAGAATCACGCTTGGAGAGTTCAGACTAAGACAGGAAAAAAAAAAAAAGAAAAAAAAAAGGAGGGTTTTTGACAGCTATATTATAAGAAAAATTAACAGATACAGATGACAGCAAAGCTTTTCTAGCCAGGAGAGATCTAAGATGAGTTAAGCAATCAATCATCTGCATCACTCACTATTCAGCAGAGAGACATTCAACATCTGAATCAGTCATTACAATGTAAAGAGAATTAGTAAAGTCTCTAACAAAATGCAAATAAGTGAACTGGAGGACAATACAGTCAAATTCTAAAACTTGGCAGGAATCCAGAAGAATTATTTTGACAAGACTGCTTGGAGTGATTTGATTTCTTCTTGTTACGTTAAAAGAGAGAGAGAGAGAGAGATAAGTGAACTGGAGGACAATACAGTCAAATTCTAAAACTTGGCAGGAATCCAGAAGAATTATTTTGACAAGACTGCTTGGAGTGATTTGATTTCTTCTTGTTACGTTAAAAGAGAGAGAGAGAGAGAGAGAGGGAGATAACTTAAGTCCTGAGTACAAGTAGCACAAGTTTTAAAAAGCATGCTGCAAGATAGATGTATATAGTCATATTTAATCAGAAGCAGCCTGGAATACGGAACTATAGAGCATTCACTGGCACTTTGTTCTACCTCTGGGTAAGGGAGCTCTTTTTGAGGTGATTGAGAGTTTGTCCAGTTAAGTGCAAAGAATACAAATCTGGGCTGAATGTTAGACATCTTCTAAGTGTTATCTTATCTTCCTTGAATGTGTTGCCTATCCTTTGTGCCATATCAGCCAGGAATCTTCTTCAAAATTCACCTGGTATATTTGAATGTAAAATATAGGCTTAGCACCTTTGTGACTACTAACTCAGCGCTAATTAAATTCTCTGCAAGTGTAAGTGTTGCTGTTATGTAGATCCAAAGGATCCTGTCTGACATCTTCCATATTCCAGTTCAAGGAAAAGAAGGAGAAAGGGCACTAGAAAGGAAAATAAAGCCGAAAAAAAGTTATGTTTATTAAAAAAAAAATAAAAAAGCTGCACCTTCATTTTTATCAGCACAGTGTCTTAGTTGAAGCAGTGGTTGAAAATGGAAAAACTTAATCTTATTTGGTACCAAAAAGGGACAGTCAAAACCAGAAGCAGCATCATTAGGCAAATTCTGAAAATTTTGAAGCTTTTTTGAGAGCAAAAAACCACCCCCTTGGCTTGCCCACCTGGCCTAGTACCATACTCATGAGCTGTCAAAAGGTCATGGCCATGCCRTTTAGTAGTCTTCTCCTTGGATGCTGATATGGTCATTCCTTTCCTCATCTTCCTCATGTATTCTGCCTGGGGCATGAGGAGAGCGGTGGCATCAGTGGAGATACTCGTGCACCTGAAGCCCTGCGCTTGCCCTGATGCCTCATAGGGTTGACACTGGCATCCAGGCCAGCTGTTACAGAGGATATCCTCCCTGTGGGTAATACACGTGACGATGAGTTGTACGTATTTTTTAATCTCACCAGCTGTTTTTTATTTTTTCCTCCTTTCTCATAATTTATACATCTGTATGAAATAGNTTTTTTTTTTTTTTTTTTTTTTTTTTTCTGCTGGAAATAGGAAGTTTTGTGCTTAGATGTGGTTTTTGTCGGCTGGTCATTCTCAGGTTGATGCCTGAAAATCTCATTGACTGAACAAAACTGAACTTTGTCCAATACTTGATGAGTTACATGRATAGAATTTGCCATCTAAAACCTTCACACAAGATTCTTATTGATTTTGACTGTCTGTTGTATAGAGCTGAATCTCACTAGCAGTTTGGATTTGGATACTTAAAATGATAACATTCACCGGTCCACGTACAAAAAGCTCTCACTGGTTTTCATTCCATAAATGTTCCCCTGCTAAAATGAAATCTATACAAAGTCAGGATATTAGTCTGTATATTACTTAGCCATATTAACATAGGAAGTATTACTTTTGTCTTACAGAAATGTTGGAATCCAACAATATCATCAATTTTAATGGTCTAGCTAATAGCTCCAGTTACCACACTTTCCTCTTGGATGAAGAGCGAAGTCGACTCTATGTCGGAGCAAAGGATCACATATTTTCTTTCAACCTGGTTAACATCAGAGAATATCAAAAGGTACCTTGAATCATGTTTTAAATGCTTAAAAAAGGGTTTAATATGCTTTTAATGTTGAACAACTGTTGTTACCCAGAGTATGTCGCACACCATTTGTAGTAAGTGTTCTCATATCAGGAATACTATGTGGCAAAATAAATAAAACAAAACAGAACAAAAACACTATAAAATGAAATTTATAATGAGGTTATAATCTGTAATTAAATAATCTACAATGCTGTTTTCAGATTGCAGGAAAGAGAAATAATTCAGTACCTGTAGTAATGATAAGTGAATAATACAGCTGTTTCGCAAATGAGGCATGCTGTCATGTTGTAGCTAAATAAAACAAAGGTGACAACTATGGCAGCTTGTACAAAAAGGCCTTTTTACTTTGTATTTATTGCAGGTAAAAAAAAAGCAAAAAAAAGAACTCTGAGAGTCTGAGTGTTGATATCTGTTCTTTAACACAGCACTTAAAGGCACTGCATTTCTGCTGCTGCTGAGCCATAACAGATTAGAAATTGATTAAAGAGCAACAGATGCATAAAAACTTTCTGTTCTTGATGAGGAGTGTAATTTTCTAGTAAAAGCTGAAGACAAATTAAAAGYTGACAAACAGCTCAGTGATGTTCCAGAGTATGCTTTTGTTTGAGACTAAATAAATCATTTTAGCTTTTCATTTATTTTAATGAGACAAAATGCTAAGAAGGTAAACAGTGAAATAGAGGTTTGATTTGTTATATTTAATATTTTGATGGTCCCTTTTAAAATCTAGAGACTACCTCTTTATGGGAGATATATTGCTGCAATACTCTGGGATTTTTTTTTCTTGGTGTTCCTGACCTTTTGCCCGTTTGACTATTAGCTTCCTAAGATGATAGCAATAAATACCTTGTGTTTTCTGTTCATGGGGAAGACAGGCTATTCATTTGTATTCCCTAAGGAAAAAGGATAAAAGGAAAACTGGGTATTTTCTTTTCTATTCTCTTTAGAGGGGCTATAAAGGAAACTAGCTATTTATTTGAATTCTCCAAGGGATTCATAGTTTAATGTGAAAAACATCTGGAATAATTAAAAGAAAAAAGGTGTTTCCATTGTAGAAACCAGTTCTGCAGAATATGAGGGACTGTATCCTGCRGATTTCAGGATTCAGATACCATTGAACCATTCTCTGGAATACACAGATACTAATATAATAAACAAAGAATTGCTATTGGTAGCATGGAACTGAATATGCAAAAAATTACTTAAAGAATAAGAATAAAAAAAGTAGTTAAAAAGTAGCTTTATGTCAACTTAATAAAGAAAGGAGTGTCACTGAAGGAAGTTAGATCAAAATCATAATGTTGGCTGTGCTGTATTTAAGCTGGAACTTCACCTTTGTTCTTTGTTCATAATAAAAAGAAAATTATTATTAAAATATAATTTTAACAACATTATTAAAAGAACATTATCAGCTGTTCGTATTAAAAAGAACTAAGGTTTCTATGTGATTACTGAAAAGAGCAACACTCAAAAAGCTAAATTTGCCATTAAAAATGGTGGAATATTGCTCTTTAGCTCTAGACTTTTGAATGAAATTAGAGAAAAATGTTGCATGATGACAATAAAGAAAGTGAACATTTAGCCATTCATTTTACAGATGAAAATACTGTTTTGAACAATATAGAAATCTTTGCCCAAAACTTGAACTGAACTTGAACTGGTTCTTGTGGGAGATCAGAGAAGTTTGGTTAATGTTTTTCAACCTAGTAAATTTTAATTTTCACATGTCTCTGCACATTTTAAACCAAGAATAGAAACAGGAAGTAGCAGGACTCCTTGGAGGGAGAAAGTGCTCATGAAATTTTCAGCCCTATTTTATAGACTTAAGAGATTCGATTTTTGTTTGAATTTCCTAACATTGTAAGATAATTCTGAATTTAAAATCCTATTACAAATTTTACTCTAAAAAGCAACTGTAACCTCTCCTCCATTCTCTTCAACCATTTTTTTTCCTTGTTTAATACTGTCCCATTTACTTTCTTTAAGAAACTGTATTGAACACCAAGGTTATAATCCAGACTTATGGCCATTCATATTGCATTATCTGAGGCTCCCAAATGAATAGCCTGGCATTTTATGTGAAGATCATGTTTTATTCTATATGTAATTCCTAAAAGCTTTTCAAAAAACATGAATAATTGACTGTGAGAGTCTCTGGGTTTTCTCTGTATGAAGCGAGATACATTTTCTACCAAGCAAACACCATAATAAACTCAGGTTTAAGATTACTTGTGTTAAGTTACTCAATAGGAATAGCAACAACATTCCTACTTTGACAGCATGATACTTTTCAAAAACCTCAGTTTCTGCTTTTAGTATATAATGAAAACTCATAAAAGAGTGAACTCGTAGATGCATTGAAGAGGCCAATTTACGATGTCATAAGCCTAATGTGAGATTGCATTTCACAGGGATTGGTTTTATTCTTAGCAAGAATCTGTAATTTTTTGTATTTATCATCCATTTTGCTATATCAGATTTAAAACAACAGAAGAACACCTCTCTGTCCACATAATGGAGAATCAACCCTCTTATCATTAGTATTCAGTATTCATTTCTGAGATTGATAGTACAGACTGTTTTTGAAGATTGTTTTTCCAATGATTCCTATCATCCCTATTGTTTTTTTCTGTCATGCCATTTTGTTGTTGTCTAACTTTATGGAAGAAAACAAAATAAGGAAAAGAAGGAGAAAAAGAGAAACTGGCTAATGACRTTCCATAGCATTTGGTCTGCAATTTGTGATTATTGAAGGATGAAATAACGTAACATGATTTTTGTCCTGTGTCTTTAGATTGTTTGGCCTGTCTCTCATTCCCGAAGGGATGAGTGCAAGTGGGCTGGAAAAGATATTCTGGTAAGTACAAATCTTTATATAATTCCTTATTTTTTTCACTATAAAACATTTTAAATATTTTATTATGCGTCATTGTGTTAATTCTTAAAATACTTTTCCTATTCTGTAAGGCACTTATCTGATCATAATATCTGACCTCGTATCTGACCTCACTCTTTTCTTTTTATTCTTTATAATGAATCTTTACATTTATTACCAGGAGTTTAAATCCACAATGGAGATTATGTAAATGAAATAAAAATTATTTGTCCCCCCACCAAGACAAAGGAAAATCAATTTCTCCTTACAAAAAAAGAGAAAGGAAGAGAGACATCAGAATAGGAAGTAAAACTCTTGCCTATTTCCTCTTGATTTCAGGGAACTTATAATTTTGACATATTTTTGCACCCAAGTCACAATCCTTTTGTGAGTTATTTTTCCCTGTGACATCTCCCTATGGTCAGTAGGTTTTCTAGGCTTTTTTTTTTTTTTTTTTTTTCCCCCAAATGGAGTTCATAGAAAGCTTGATTTCAATGTGTTTTTAATTTTCTATATCAGTTTTAACGCCCCAGGAAAGTCACGGTGATGCTATGCATAATTTTCTGTTCATTTTCGCTCCTTCAAATGTACCTCTCAGTCACTGCATGCATTTAAAAAGCAGGAAATAAATAGACAGTAGACCCCAAATATTAGTCATTCCATTCTGCTGATGACTCTCTTCTGTGTGAGAACAGCCTGGGGAATGGGCAAGAGCTGAAGGGAAAGGAGGGAGAAAATATGCACATGCAGTAAGCTCTGTAGAGGAGCCAAATGGGAAATTCTTGCGCTTGCCAAGGTATAACTGAAAGTGGAACTTGGCCCCAAGTGTATATGCTATTGGCCTGATTTTCAGAGAAGATTCTGTAAAATATTCATAATGCTAACCATTTGCCTCTTGAGAGCTCCACGTGAATAATTTCCTAGGTCATAATAAAAATAGGTTCATTGGTCTTTACCTAGGCCATAGAGGACAGTTGTCTTCATAAAAAGCCAGCTGGGAACAGTAGAGGTAGATTAGGTGAAAATTAAGAGATATGGGCTGAGCTATATATGTGAAGGGCTGGATAAAATAGTTGGCTATAACAAGCACTATCTCATTAAATTGCAGTAATATGTTTAAATTAATCCTACTTSATGTTCACAAATAATTTTCAAGAGTACATGACAAGATGAGGATTAGAATATCTAATTTTCAAGGTTAAAAAAAAAAAAAAGTAAGGCCAATGTTATATGTATGAACAAATTAACTAACCTTGCAGCCCAGCCTTACACTTTTTGTGATATTGCAGCCTGAGCTGAAATCTAGAAAATCAGAAATGCAGCGTCAAAAGCATCCTCTTTTAATATTTTAATCCTTGTTTTTTTAAAAATACAGAAGTGAAGAGTATTTTTCATACACTGCAGTAGATTAATTCCAATATATTCACAATAAATAGAAATATTATATTTTTTGTGAGAGATCTGGGAAGCTCAGTTCTCCGTCCTCTGACTGTTATTTGAGAGGACTATTTGTGCTGTAATAAGATTGCACCTGCAATCTTATGTTCCTTCTGATGTCAGGGCATCCACACTTGGTGATGAGGAGGGAAGAATGAATTCAATGCTGTGCCSCAGTGCTGGGTATGTCCCCTGTGCATTAGCTGCCTGCTAGGACTGTAGGGCATAAGAACAAGAACAGGAGTAGCATCAGGACACAGCACAGCTCAAGATGTGAATAGCAATAGTACAGCCACATAGTTCTAATACCAGTTATTTTGTTTTGGAAAATAGTTTTGGAATATATGATTAGTTTTTTTTTTTTTTTTTTTTTTTTTTTTTTGCCTTTTTTTTTCTTTCTTAATTGTCAAGACTTCTCCACAAGTGCAGATGAAATATAAAGAAAATATAAGTCATATGTAATGTGGGTCCAGTTTTGATAGGCAAGCCAAAAAGATACATCTCTTTGTGTAAAGGTTATAATCTTTAAAATAGCTATAACTACCTGTTCTTGCCATTAAATAATATATTAAAAATCAAAGTATTTAATACAACTGCTTTAACTGCAATTACAGATAAAGATTACAGGTCATTTAAGAAACTTAGTATTCTTCCCTCATTTATTAAAGCTATTGACAGTACCTTGGGAGTGGGAAATATAAAGGCCATAAAAATAATTCAACAGCCTCTCATTAGAGAGACCAAGGGAAATAGAGGACAAATAAAGTGGCTTATAAAACACACTTGATTTAATAGTGCTTTCAACATGTCCCACTGCTACGTTATTAGATATTCTTCATTTGTGATAGTTCAAAACTTCTACTAAATGACAGTCTGTACCTTTATACTGGGGTCTTTTTAAACTCCTTTAATTATTGGTCTCCAGGGAAAAGCAGTGCTGAAAATGCAGGTCCCCCTAATAGGGCAGGTGCGCAGCAGCAGCTGCAGCGCGCACGACCCGGCCTCTGCCCCCCGCTAACCGCAGACACGGCCGGAGAGATTTCCCCTCCTAATTATAAGAGGGAATTTACTGTAGTCTTTAGTCTTTAGTCTTTACTCCTTCGGAGGGATTCCTTAGACTGATGCCGTCAGTCAGGGCAGTTCAGGAAGAACCGGTCCTTGGAGCTCCCCACAGTCTGTCTGGAAATATCCTAGCTTTAATGACTGTTTTTTTGGTTCTTTTTTTTTTTTTTTTTTTTCCCCGGTCCTTTTTTATATGTTAATTAATTAAGCTTTGCACTCTGCATAGGAAAATAAACCTTTTAGTTTTTCAACCTGTTAAAGTATGCTTGGCATCTCATTTTGTTGAGATCTCATAAATGTTGAATAACTTTCCCTCTCCATACGGTACTGACAGTTCACAAAAGTGACCTGCTACACTTTCTCCTGAAATAGAGATTTTTTTTCCCAATAAAATCATATTTACTGCCTCATACAAGTATTTAATATTACAGTTTGTTTCCATGCYCTCTGTATACATGGCAAGTACCAAAGTAATCTTACTAATGAAAAATAAATAACAGACTAGGTATTTACTTATGCAGATAAACTAATGCTGTTTACTTATGCAGTTGAAGATTTCGTGTTAGTCTGGTCCTCGGGTGTAAATAGGCTCTTTTTTGATCAGTTCGGCTGCTATRTGTTCTGTGAATGTTCCCTGTGACTGCTGGTAAGATGTTGATAATGACAGAAGATGACAATCCATGTACACATACACAGTATTTCTGAATTTCTATTCTGAACCTTACATATAGACATACTCATAGTTATTTCCCTCACTAGCGAGCATCAATATTTTAATTTTTAAGAATTTGCAGGCATCTGGCACCAAGCAGGGACACATGGCAGCTGTATTGCACTCTGTGTTACACATGCTAAATAACAGGCAACTGTGAAAAAATGCAGCTACCGTTCCATTCTAACATGCCAAGGATATCATAAACCAGCCAACTGAAGCTTGAATAATGTACAAAAGGTTAMCAGAAACACTAGCTAGTTCTGCAGGTAGGGACAAGGAAATGCGTTCATTGACTGGAAAGTTCATCTAGTCCTTCATCTATTGGTTTTCCCAGGTTTTAAAAGTTCTGGCAGCATTGAAATGTATGATGAGTTGGCTGCTGCATCTARGCATACCTCAGCCCCAGGTTTGGCTGAGGCACTGTAACAGTATTTCATTGACACACAGTTAATGAAGGAAATCCCTGTTAAAGGAGATGATGGAGTGTCCATTATTTCATGGCTTAAAGATTGTGTTTCTGAATGGTATCTTAAAATGCTATTTTCAGGAGTGATCTGAATATCTAAGTTATTCAGACTTCTTCAAAAATCCTAGCTCAAAATGAATTGTTGAAACAGGCTTTTTTGGCCTTGACATCTGTAAATTTTAAAATCCCACTGCTTATTTTTAACAAAGTCACAAAGGAAAGGCTGAAGACAGATAGACTGATACAAGCTTTGGATACTGTATGAAACCAGTTTCTCTAGTGGGAATTAAAAGTTGAAATACTCCTGGGTACAATAAGGAGTAGACAAGCTTTTCCATACGTTCTCTCACATGAACCTGCAGATCCATAAACATAGCTTCATGTCATTTCATTTAATAGCTAAAGCATTGATAGCAGTGAGGAATTTAATTGGGAACCTTTTCCCAATTAAAAAGAAGCAACAGATTCTTTATGCTGCACGATACAGGTATATTCCATATATTCTTCTTTATATTCAAGTGTGGCCACACTTATGGTTCAGGTAGAGTCATAGCTCTGTAATTCAGCTCACAGTCCCGTTTCTTAAAGATAATAGTTAATTTAAAYTGAAACATTCATATATCATTCCAGTTTTGACTTCTCGTAGAGCTTTTCAACTCCTGCCTAAATCAGAGGAGCATTATCAACTCCAAGGGTTTCTGTCTTCAATTTGGAATGATTACAACTATTATTAATTATTTCTATGATTGCAAAAAAGAGAAAAAGCAATGCATAACTCACCAAAAGTTCCTCAGCCATATCTGGTGATACTTTGGATAAATGAAGTTGTWAATGAGTGCTATCCCCTTTAACTCATTTTACTACTGCTGTTGCCTTAGGGAAAACAGAGGCACAAAGTGAAAGTAATTCCCTTCATGTGTTATTGTAAATAAAGATCTGAAGAGAGAATCTGAAAATTAAATATATAATGCCAGCTGGTTATAGAAAACCTGCTCTTAATTTAATCTCATCAGGTATAGTTCAAATTATCTGTGACTGCTTGTATGTGTGAAATAGGGGTTCATCCCTCTCGTTCATACATCTCCCCTTGGAAGACATCTACGGCCAGATTCCCAGCTTTGATCTCATGAACCCTCACCACTATAACCATCTCTTTCTTGTCTCCCTTTTTTCTGTCAAAGCACTGAAATCCTTTGAGATTTTGCCTAATCCTTGCCATCAACCCTGACAAAAGTAATAGATGAATGTCTTCTGGAAATAGGAAGGGGTAAAGTGGGCATGAAGTGCAAAGCAATGGTCCTC